AGGCATCCCCTCTCAGGACATATCATTGGTGGCTCTGGTGGTGTATGTGCAGTCCTTGCTTGAGGGCGAGCATAGTGGGACAGGGACCAGGGACCCCCTCCGGGAGAGGTAGTAAGAGACAGATAGGGTCTACAGTACTTAGCAAAGTACACGTCCTGTTCTCCAATTGGGATTTCTGAACTATTATAACCTTATGGGACCATGGATGTATATGTGGTCGGATATTGCCCTAATGGATGTGGTGTGGCACATGGGGGTTGTGTGTGTGTGTGTGTATACATACATACATATATTGTTGTTAGCTGCCATCAAGTCATTCTGACTCATGGCAACCACATGTGTGCAGAGTAGAACTACACAGGGTTTTCAAGGCTGTGAACTTTTAGCAGCAGATCACCAGGCCTGTCTTCTGAGGCCTTTCTGGGTGGGTTCAAACTGCCAACCATTCAGTTAGTAGTTGAGTTCATAACCATTTGAGCCACACAAGGTGTGTGTGTCTGTCGGTCTCTCTCTCTCTCTATGTGTATGTATAGATAGATATTCAAATATATCTCCATAAATACATATACTTCAAATCTAATGGCAATTTGATGAAAACATCCTAAATCCCATTATCTATTTTAGTAAGTGGCACAGGATAAATATTTTTTACATCATGGATATAGCCCTTCAATATTTATAATTGCTCTTAATAACTATACACAAATATTTATCATAGGTCAATACAGAAAGCAAAGGTTAGTATCTGTTCTTTGGAGAGGTTCACCAAACAAAATGATCTCATCTCAAGTATTCATATTTTGAAAGGGACAAATCCATTTTTTAAAATGTTTCTCATTGAAGCAATATAAGCAATGTCATTTGTTATAAAGCATAAGGGATTCTCTTTAATTACTTTTTGGAGGTAAGTATAATAAAAAATGATTTCGATGATGGGTATAATTTTGCATATAATTTAAAAACCTAATTAGCTCCTTCAGACTAAACTAGTTCTGTTAGATATCCCTTAGCCTTAGCAGTTTCACAATGATACTGTACCTTCTTATAACATCACTGAAACCTGTTCAGCTGATCCATCAAATCCTACCCTCTTCAGCCTTAGAGCTTATTAACAATTAACAGCTCTGCCTTCTGCTGATGTTTTCTTATCCAAAAAGCTTGGGAATTTTACCACTACTATGGGGCCCGGGAGCTCTGGTGGTGCAGTGGTTAAGAGCTTGGCAGCTAACCAAAAGGTC